AAGGCAGAGTTAAGGAAACATTTCAGGAATGAGGAAATGGAAGGAATGTGGTAGCTTGTGGAAGACAGAATCTCAAGCTGAGGGAATAGAGAGGTTAGAATATAGTACTTGTGAAGTTATGGAAAATAGTTCTGTAAAGATAAATTAGAACTGGATTGTAGAGGATTTTTGTATTTATCTTGTATGTAATAGGGAGCCACTGAAGGGTTTTGAACAGGGGTATGACAGTAGGAGCTGGGCCTTAAGAAAATATTGTGACAGCTTTGTGGAGGAGAGATTGTAGAAAGAAGAGATGGAAAACAGGAAAACCAATGTAAAAGCTACTATAATACAGTCCAGTCAAATGGTTAAGAGGGTCTGAACTAGGGTCATAGCACAGTCAGTAGACACACAGGAGAATATGATCAATATTGTAAAGGTAGAATCAGCAAGGCTTGGCATCTGATTGGATAAGGGAGCTGAAGGAGCTAGGAGTCAAAGATGACTGAAATTGTAAAAGTGATTGAATGGAAGCCTAGCGGTATCTTTGTCTGAAAAGGATAAGTTTGGAGAAGGGACAGGTTTAGAGGTAAAGATGATGAATCTTACTTCGGGATGATGAGATGTTTTAAAATATCCAAGTAAATAGATCCGACAGATCATTGGTGATGCAGGATTGGAATTCTGATGAAAGATTAGGGCTGAAGATATAGACTTTGAAGTCAGTCATCTGAATAGAAATGATCATTGAACCTGTGAGAACAAATGAAATCAGAGAGAGAAAGAGACAGAGACAGCATTAGAGAGACAGATACAGAGACAAAGACTGAGAATATTCTGTAGAGATTCATAGGGTGGGAGTATATATAGCTTGGGCAGGGGAGAATCAGAGAAAGCTTCATGGTAGAAGGGGCATTTGAAAGGTGTTTCATAAGATAGATAATATTTTGACAGGCAGATAGGGGAGGGCAAAAGGCATTCCAGGAAGAGGTAATAACATGAGCAAAGGCGTGGAGAAAGGAAAATACAGAGTATGTTTGAGAAATATAGAGGAGACTAGTTTAGGAGAAGGGAGCCCCCAAATTACTACCCAGTGTAGGAGCCTAGTAGAATATAAGGCTGGAAAAGTCAGTTGAGATCAGATTCTAAAAAGCCTTGGACACCAAATGAAAGACTTGTGACTTTACCTGGGAGGCAAAGGGGTATCATTAAAGATTTTGGACAGGACATTAATATGATCCTGGCTGTGGCTTAATAAGAGTCATCATATGTGCAGTAAGGATTAGAATTTGTGTCCCAAAATGACTAGGAAAGACTTCAGAGAACTCTAACTCATGCCATGCTCAATCATCACTTAAACATCACATGTACAGAATAGGACATATATTTTCAGACTTGATTTGTTTGACTATATTTATTTGTCACGAAGGAAACTTTCTATAGTGAGGGAGAGGAAGAATGAGTAGATAGTAATTTTGTGGTTCAATCATTTTCAGTCATGTCCTAATCTTCATGACCTCATTTGAGTTTGTTTGTTTGTTTGTTTTTGGCAGAGATACTGGAGTGGTTTGCAATGTCCTTCACCAGCTCATTTTACAGACGAGGAAACTGAGGCAAACAAGATTACAGCTAATAAGTGTCTCAGGCCAGATTTGAATTCATGAAGAGAGGTCTTTCTCAGTCCAAGCCCAGCACTATCCACTATGCCACCTAGCTGCCAGGTGGCATAATGAGGCAAATAAAAGTGTAGTGGGTTGAATAATGACAAGTGATGCAAAAGAAGAATGTTAAGGAAACATTAAGAAACACACACACACACACACACACTCATGAGAGAGAGAGACAGAGACAGAGACAGAGAGAGCAACCCAAAGGTAGTTCAGAAGGGAATACTAACAAGGAGGGAAATTTTGTTACTCTTTTCTTCAATCCAATATGAATGCTTTTTAAAAGACAGGTTTACAGAAAAGAAATGTAAGGTTTCATACTCAATTCTTTTTTCTGTTCCTTGTATATTGAAGTGTTGATGCATGTTGATTTTTTAAAAATTTATAACATTAAAAAAAATCTGTGTGCTTGCAGCAGCACATTAGCAGAATTCATTCTTGACTTCAGATGGGAAAGACCTCTGCTCTTCATCATCAGCTACTCAGTCTGATCTGTGCTGGGGAGACTTGGCTGTATTAAAAAAATACTGGTGATGTTTCTTCAGATGAAATATAGACTAAGGAATCCATTCATTCGGGAGAAGCAATCATAACAACAGAAGATGCCTTGCTACTGGAGATCTGTCCTTTTTACAATAAACAGATGGCAAATTAACCTGTTTTCTTAGCAACATCAATTTAAACTTGAGGGATCTTACAGATCACTTAATCCAAAACCTTCATTTTTCTTTCAGAGAAAGAAACTGAGGCTTGTTCCGTTATGTTGAGAAACCAACTGAAGCAATTAGGTTTGACTCACATTTTTATCTTGAATCCAGGTTTACAAAGCACTTTCCTCACAACACTGTAGTGTGTAGGGTGGGTATTACTGGGTGAACCTCGATTGTCAAGAGGCTGATTATTCAGGGCATGGATTTTTCTGGGCCCCTTACTCCTCCTTCATCTCCTCTTCTTTATCTACCTTCTGGTCATTTCATGCCTTGTTAGGACAATCCTCAAAAGAGCAACCAAATAAAACTGAAATTTAGCAAGAGCCCAGAGAACAGCAACCAGAATTGTGAAAGTCCTTGAGTCAATGTTATACAAGAAGTAGTTGAAAGAACTGGGGATGTTTAGTCTGGAGAAGAGACCTGATTCTTTTCTGCAAATCTTTGCTTGGGTGTCATATGGAATAGGGATCATATTTGTTCTGTTTGGCCCCAGAGGGCCCTTCACCTCAAAGAGCTTACATTTGAATGGGGAAGACAATATAGAAATAACTAGGTAGATACACACACACACATATATATATATATATATATATATATATATATATGCATATACACACATATGTATATATAAATGTGTATATATAATGTATGTATGTATAACATATGTGTGTCTACAGATAGAGAAAAAGAGAGACAGTGGTTCGGGGGAAGGGAGGCAGAAAGTGGGAAAAGCTTCCTGAAAAAGGTAAGATTTGAGTTGAGTTTAGAAGGAAGCCAAGGAAACTAGGAGGGAAAGGTGAAGAGGGTGAGCATACCAGGTGTAGGAGACAGCCAGTGAAAATGCAGAACTAGGAGATGGTGTGTCCTGAGGGAGGAAAAGGAAGGAGGGCAGTGTGGGCATTTCATAGAGTTTGTGGGGAAGAGTAAAGTATAAGAAGACTGGGAAGGTGGGAAAGGTCCAGCCTGGGAAGGGCTCTAAATAATCATGGAGCATTTGATGCTCCATGTGGCATGGGCAGCCTTGGGAGGTGGTGAATCTCCTTTCCTTGGAAGTCTCCAAGCCGAGGCCAGATGAACCCTTGCCAGCTACTCAATGGTGCTGATTCCTTCTATGTTAGACTAGAGAGCTGTTGAGGCCCCTTCTGGTTCTCAGATTCCTGTGATTTCCATGTAGTAACGAGAGATTTTGTGGTTGACAGAATATAGCACAAAAAAGGCAGTGAGTGACAAAAGGCACTTAGAAAATCCCAGTGATTTTGTTGCTAGGGGAAGTAGGACAAAGTCTGTCAGCCCTTTTTAGTCTTCTCCACAAGGCCCAGCCCCTGCGATTTGAATAGAGCACAAGGGACATGATGGTAAGGTTGAAAGCAATCTCTCTAGCACATCTTTTATTGTTGTGGTTGTTTAGTTATGTCTGACTCTTTGTGACCCCATTTGGGGTTTTCTTGGCAAAGATCCTGGAGCGGTTTGCCATTTCCTTCTCTAGCTCATTTACAGATGAGGAAACTGGGGCATACAGAGTTAAGTGACTTGCCTAGGGTAACACAGCTTCTAAGTGTCTGAGGCTGGATTTGAATTCAGACCTTCCTGACTCCAGGCCCTGCACTCTACCCACTTCACCACCTACCTGCCTCAGCTTTACCCAACCTCTTTGCATTAGATAAAAATGGAGCATTGGAAGTATTTGCCAGGGTTGGGACAATGTTAAGAGCTAAAAAGGGGTTTAGGAACAAATCTCAGGAGACAGTAAGCTGGGGGAGTCAGAAGAGGCAGCATAGGAACACTGTCAACACAAACAATAAGCCTAACCATACCCTGGATGGGCTGGGTTAATTCCTCTCATGAGAGGAAGCACTTTACTGGTCACTATACCCACTCAGGAAATAACGACCAATGAGCAGATGGCTGAGCACCAGCACAGATGTCCAGTGGGGAGCCAAAGGAGGGTGGGGGGATGACATCGGAAGTAGCCACTAATGCCTTTGCATCATTGAAAGCCTGTGTTGTTCTAGCCATGCTATGTCCTGGCCAAATGCTGTCTCTATATGTGTACCCCTTCTTGTGGATTCCCTTATTACGCATATATATATTCCCTGGCTTCTCACACATATAGGGGCAGCTAGATGGTGCTGTGGATAGAACTTGGCTTGGAGTAAGGAAGACTCATCTTGTTGAGTTTGAATCTGGCCTCAGACACTAGCTGTGTGACCCTGAGCAAGTCACTTAACCCCATTTGCCTCAGCTCCTCATCTGTAAAATGAGCTGGAAAAGGAAATGGCAAAGCACTCCAGCATCTCTGCCAAGAAAATCCCAAATGGGGTCATGAAGAGTCAGAGTGATTGAACAACAACTCACATACATTCCCTGGTCACCAGTGATCTGTGTGTGTGTGTGTGTGTTTCCTTCCCTATTTCTGTAGTGATTGTTGTGAAAGAGTGTACCCCTATACGTATAGGATACTTCTTTGTATGAGGAATATCTTGTCACAATTTGCTAGCAGTCAATCTACATTTATTAAGTTACCAGTGTGCTAACCACTGAAGCAAAAGGTCTGCCCTTAAGGAGCTTGCAATCCAATGCCATTCAATGAAATGTTTTTGTCTTTAAGCTAACGTGTTTGTCTGGTTGTGTGTTCTGTTTTCAGTGGATACTGACCCATGGAGTACTGTACCTGGAGCAGCTTTCTGGAAGCCCACACAGGCAGGCCCAGGAAACACAGTCAAAAGTTTTGTCGCGCAAGTGGTCGAAACTGTTGGCTAAATTAGGTGTTTGTGTTATTTTTTTATCTTGATTATCCAAACCACTCTATACCTAGACCCTCCCCTCCTTCTCCATGTTCCTCTATCACATATAATGGATGAAATGGCCAGCCCTCCACCACAGGTAATGAATGGATGGAGAGTTGACTTCAATGATCTAAATGAATCAGTTTAAAGCTTTGACATCTCTATTAATAATAATAATTAATTAATGAGTTTCTATTTTAATATTTTTATTCAATTATAGAAAAGGCATTTTATCAACACATGAATTAATCTGCAGAATATTAAATGTTGAGGAATAACAGCAGAGTATCAATTTGTCCCAGGACAGTTTCTAACTGAACCTATCAAGTCAATAAGTATATTAGGCACTGTGCTAAGTACTTTGCATACAAAGAAAGGTAAAAGATAGTCCCAGCTCTCAAGGAATTCATATTCTAATGGGGAGACAACGTGCAAAGACTAGGTACAAACAAGCTACGTACAGAATAAACAGGAAATAAGCAACAGTGTGAAGGCACTAGAATAGGAGGGATTAGGAAAGGTTTCTTGTAGAAAGTGGGATTTTAGGTGTGACCTGAAGAAAGCCAGGGAAGTCAGGAGACAGAGATGAGACAGGAGACAATTCCAGGCATGAGGAAAAGCCAGTGAAAATGCCTGGAGCTGGAAGGTAGAATGTCTTTAGCAAGGAACAGCCAGAAGGCCAGAGTCACTAGAACACAGAGTACTTATTATATGTAAAGGGGTGGAAAGTGGAAGAAGAATGGAAAGGTTGGCCTGGGTGATGGGTTATGAAAGGCTTTGAATGCCAAACAGAGGATTTTATATCTGAGCCTGGAGGTGACAAGGGGTCACTGGAGTTGAATGGATGGAGGAGGGGCAAGGGTGGGGACATGGTCAGACCTTCAGTTTAGGAAGATCATTTTGACAGCTGATAGAAGACGAATTGGAATGGGCAGAGACTTGAGCCAGGCAGACCCAGCAGCAGGCTATTGTAATAGTCCAAGCATGGGGTGAAAAGCAGTGCACCAGCATGGAGACAGCATCAGAACAGAGAATATTAAAAAAAAGTTGATAAAAATGAGTTGAATAATAATAACTGATATTTATATAGCAACTTAAGTTTTGTAAACTACCTTACACATTATTTTATTTCACTCTCATAACAATTCTGTAATATAAAATGGTGATATCTCATTTTACAGATGAATAAGTTGAGTCTTAGAGAAGATGCCACTTGTCCATGGTCACACAGCTAATAAGTTATGGATTTAAATGAAGGAAATCGAGTTGGCAAAGCATATTTCTAATTCTTCTGTGAATCTCAAATAACAATAATAGTTAGCATTTATATGGCACTTTAAGGTTTGCAAAGTACTTTACAATATTATCTCATTTGATCCTCACAACATCTCTGGGTGCTATTGCCGTCTCCATTTTACAGATGAGGAAACTGAGGCAGACAGAGGTTAAGTGATTTGCCCAGGGTCACACAGCTAGTAAGGGTGGAGACCATATTCTAATTCAGGCCTTCCTGACTCCGAGCCCAGTGTTCTATCCACTTTGCCACCTTGCTGCCTCCAGATGTTGGAGGAATAGTACCAAACATTCAGTGAATCTAAAGTGTAGTCAAATCTCTCCTTGTCCTAGAATCTCTTATTAATTATAACCTTTCAACTTTAAGCCTGAGTAGGCCAGACTTCTGGAAATCTCATTCTGTGGGCTGGAGTTAAGTTCCTCAGGTTTCTGTCCCAGTAATTTGACCTGGAATATGAGGGTATAAATAGAGAGGGGATTAGGGTAAAAGAGTACAAGCTGAGAGACCTGAATCCTAATCTTTACTTTATGACCAGTAATAATAACAGCTTACACATCCTTAGTGCTTCAAAGTTCACAATAATACCCTGAAATTCATGGAGGTAATTAGCACAAATATTTTGTTCCCCACTTTTTCGATGAGGCTGAAAGAGGTCAAGTCATTTGAAGCATGTTAGGTAGAACAATGGATAAAGTGCTGGTTCTGGTGTCAAGAAGACCTGAATTTAAATCTGGCCTCCGACTCGTACAAGCCATGTGACCGTGGGCAAGTCACTTAACCAGTTTCAGTTTTTCTCAACTGTAAGATGGGGGTAATAATAGCATTTACCTCGCAGGATTGTGAACATCAAATGAAATAATACTTGTAAAACTCTTAGCACAGTGCCTGGTACATAGCAGGTACTTAATAAATGCTTATTTCCTTCCCTCCCTCCATCCCTCCTTTCTCCCTTCTTTTCTTCTTCCCTTCCTCACTCTCCCTCTTTCCCTCCTCCCTCCCTTCTTTCTTTTCTTCTCCCTTGCTTCTTTCCTTCCTTCTCTCTTTCCTTCCTTCCTCCCTCCCCTCCCTTCCTTTCTTCCTTTCTTTTCTCTTTCCTTCCTTCCTCCCTCCCTCCCTCCCTTTATTCCCCAAAGTCACACAGTTAATAAGTGCTGGAGCTAGGATTCAAACCCTGACCTCTCCAGATTGTAAGACCAGTAAGTAGCTTACATAGCCTTGAACAAACAACTTTAACCAGTGTTAACCAACCACTAATCATTTACTGAACTCTAACTATGTTGCAAATACTGTGCTAGGTTCTGGGAATACGAAGACAAAAGTGAAACAGTCTCTGCCCTCAAGGAGCTTACATTCTAACATGGTAGAAAACATTTACATATGTAAATAAGTATATAATATATACAGAATCAATACTAGGCAGCTCTTGGAGGGAGGGTACTAGAGAGGAGAGATCAGGGAAAGTTTCGTTTGGAAAGTGGTATCTGAGTTTAGTCTTGAAGCAAACTGAGGATTCCAAGAGTCAACGATGAGGAGGGAATGAATTCCAGGCATGGTTGGACAGCCAGTGCACAGGTATAGAGATGGGAGACAGGAACTAAGTCAATAGGGCTGGATCATAGGATGCAAAGAAGGTTGTGATGGGTCAGAAGATGAGAAAGGGAGGGCGGAGCCAGATTGTGAAGAGATTTAAATGTCAAACAGAAGAGTTTATATTTGATCCTTGAGGCAATAAGGAGCCACTGGACTTTATTGAAGGGGGAAAGTATGTATCTGTGTATGTGACACATGATTAAATTTGTGCTTTAGGAAATTACTTTGAATGCTCAGTTTTCTCACTGGTTAAATAAGTTCTGGCATCCAAGTGGCACAGTGGATAATGGCCAGGCCTGGAGTCAGGAAGACCTGAGTTCAAATCCAGACACGTAATAGCTGTGTGACCCTGGGCAAGTCACTTAACCCTGTTGGCCTCAGTTTCTTCATCTGTAAAATGGGTTGAAGAAGGAAATGGCAAACCATTCCAGTATCTCTGCCAAGAAAATCCCAAATGGGGTCACAAAGAGTTGGACACAACTGAAGCAATTCAACAACAAATAAGTTTGGCTTTTAAATGATTCCTAAGGTCCCTCCCAATGAATGATTTCATGAATACCAACCCAGCAAGAATGCTGCGAGAGCTCTTTGGTGAAGATTTGCTGAACATTTTGGCAACGAAGAGTGCTAGGTATTTTTATTTGGAGTTATAACATATAGGATCAGGTTCTGAGTCAGCATAATTATGGTAAGTTGTGCCTGGATATTCACTCCGAGAGACTTATTCATGTTTGCATTTACAGAACCCATTCAGCAGGCAGCAACAGCCTTTGTTGGCATAAGCTGGACAAATTAGAGTAGGTAGATGTAGCAAAGAGGGGGCCATACATTCCTTAGTTCCCTGTCATACATACAGAACCTCTTACTCTCTTTCATAAGGATCTCAAAAGTTAAGGAACTGAGTAGATGACAAAGATGACCCCTGGAAACCTGACTTCATCAGGGCTTCATCAAAGATTCATGGTGGGGAATGCTGGTGAAGATAAGCTGTAGGAGTTGGAACCAGATTGTGGATGGCCTTGAAAGTCACTCCCTCAATGATGTCTTCCAGTTTTCCTCCTAAACAGAAGTGATTTCTCCCTCCAGTGAACCAACACTCCTTCCATCCCCACAACCATTTCCATTACTTCACCCTTCTCTATTACTTAATTTCACGTTTCAGCTATTTGGGTACATGTCATCTCATATACTATCTGATCAACTTCTTGAGGAGTAGGGACCTGATTCAATACTTCAAGATTTGTGATTTCATTGACATGGGTATCATGTCACTGACACCAACTGCAAACCCTCTATGGCTTTGTGTATGCTCTTTATGGGTTTCTGCAGTTGGAAAAAAAAAAGTCATTACCCTAATGGCTTGCCTGGTTGGGGGGGATGTTTCTCTAAAATCAGCTAATACTGTAGGCCAAACCTGACTCAGGACAGTCTAGTGCTTCAAGTTTGGAACTGGAACAAAATGAAATACTTATAGACTAATATTTAACTAAGGAAGATTTATTTAACTGACTCCTCATGTGCTTAGAACACCAGGAAGCTACGTCAGTGATTTGAGCCTTGGTCCCCCGGGGCCAAGTAGGACAGTTTCAACACCTTTCAAGGAAAAATTGCCCTGCACAAATATACGTATGTCATCAGGTAAGTACTGGAAGTCTCTGTAGCTTGACCCCGTCATTTCCTTTGGGAGCACAGGTTCACCTTCAGATCTACAACAAGGTGTCAGAGGAGGACTTTAGTGGAACATGTGGCCTATGTCTTATTTGGTTTTATATCTCCCCTGTTTTCTGTGTTGAGCACGATGCTTTGGGTAATAACCTCCCCCCAACCCTGGAGCCCCTTCATACAGTGGCTCCTTCTAAGTTGCCCCCCAGGTCCCTGGTACTATTATGGGGGTAGTTGCCTATTTAAACCCACTGCTCCCATCAATACTTTTTTTTTATCATGTCAAACCCAGTGACTGCAAATTTAAAGCAGACATGTAATCAAACAGAATAATATGTAATAATATGCAATTAAAATGGGTATTAAACTCTCCCAGCACTCATCTTCAAATGGCTGCCATCCACCCCGCCCCCACCATCACGTATATTCCAAGGAGCACAAGTGTTCTTCCCAATTAATACTTCAGTCTCCCTAACACTGTGGGAG